TATTTGCCCTGTAGGTATTCAGGGTCTCAACGGTTGTAGGAAACCTACCAAACGCAAAGGCAAAGCGCCTACCGGTCCCGTTGTACTCGACGACAACACTGTATATCTTGAAGACATTGACTCGTCGATGCCCAAGACTCCTGCACGGACGCAAACGCTGCCGCCGTCGTCGGCATCTCCGAGCAAACCCAAATTCCATGATCATGACCCGTATCACCTTCCAGATCTCGACTTTGACGCCGCTGTTGCAAAAGCGACGCGTGCTCCAGTCCCTGATCCACGCCTCGCGACTGAAGAGGAGCTCCGCGCGTTCATAGAAGACATGCGCCCGGAAGACTTTGACGTTACCCTCGCCCGCTTTTCGTGAACTGCCGACGGAAGTTCAATACGAAATAGTGGGCGACCTTCGGTTGAAGTCTCGCCAGACCTCCTATGTTCGTTTGCAGAACATGCTCAAGAAAGCGTCGACGCCATTGGACTTTTCCAAGCAACAGATTCAAAATCTGCGACAACGTAACACTTTGACGCAGCAACTTCTTTCAACCACGGATAGTATTGGAAAGGCGAATCTCACTATTCCTATCCGTGTTGCCAGCGAACGTAATCGAGAATACGTGTTGATCAAGAATGAGGGTAAAGACGGCGGGTGGATTCTCGGTATTAGAGACGATGGGACGCGAGAGAAGCCGATAGAAATTGACCAGGACAACGACAGAGAATTAGAGGACGACGACGACAGCGACGAGGATATGGAAGAAGTGTATATGTATGTTTTGGGGTTACTCTCCATGGCAGTGAGAAACTGACACGATTTAGTCCTCAACCCGGCCTACCGGACGCTGACTTGCGAGAATATCAGCGATCAATGGCACTTTCAGCCATTGCTGGCCGACGTGCACCTACGAAACCGCCCAAAAAACATTCTGCGACCGTCCCTTCGCAGCCGCTCTTTGACGTCGATGACAACGACACGTTTGTTCTTCCAGCGGATGATGATGATGACGAGGAGCTAGCATTTGCAATTCAGCAATCTATTGATCAGGCCAATGCATCCAAAGTGTCGTCCGATACACTTGCCCGGACTAGACGTCCGCCGATGGTTAATGCCGTAGCGTCATCCTCCAAGCTCGTCGACACCACACCTGGCTGGTCCTCCGACGCTGTTCATCGCTATAATGATCACAGCGACGGTTTTTACATCAATGGAAACCGACTGGAAACCGCGTTGTCCATAGCGAATGCGGGACTCGTCCGGACGCCCGCCAAGCCTTCAACTTCAATGTCTTCGAAATCCATCTTTGGAGAGCCGCTACTGCTTCAATCAACTTCTACACCGCCGGCCGCGCGACCGCCGCCGAAGCCCCCATCAACCTCGTCGATGTTTGGAGAACCACTCCTCCTCCAATCTTCTGCTGGACGGACACCCCTAACGACCTCGTCAAGTTCGATATTTGGAGAACCAGTCCTTCTCCAGTCACCTGCTGCATCGCCAACGAAGACCTCCGTGTCATTTTCGCAGCCGCCGCCCAAACCCCCATCGACCTCGTCGATTTCGATGTTTGGAGAATCACTCCTCCACCACTCTTCTGCTTCCGTATCTGCGGCGCGAACACCCCTAACAACCTCGTCAAGCTCGATATTTGGAGAACCAGTCCTTCTCCAGTCACCTGCTGCATCACCAACAAAGACTTCCGTGTCATTTTCGAGCTCGGTTTTTGGAGAGCCTGTGTTACTACAGACAATGAACACACCCCCGAAACCTCCATCGACATCATCCGGCTCTCTGGCTGGAGAGCCAACTTTACTCGAGCCTATGTCGCATACACGGACGGAACTCCCTTCAAACTCTGTGTTTGGGGAGCCCGTGTTGCCCTACACGAAGGCAACTTCGCCTGGACCACGCTCTCCTCCAACGGCCAAGGCGCAGCCAGAGGTTGATTCGGATGAAGACATGGAGGAGGTTCTTGAGGAAACAACAAGTAGTGCTGTGCCTCGACCCTCCGAGGGAATCGACACCTCAGTTCGCCCTTCCGAGCTGACCCCCCAACATAACGGCACTCCTTCCAGCGGGATGGCGGTGACACTACCCTCAGTACCCACAACACCAGAGCCCACAATGAGAAGCGACGTCGAAGATGGCGATCCAGTCAGCGACTGGTCCAGATCTCCGTCGCCGATTGTTGGTTTAGAACAGCCTGAGCCGCGTTCCGCTTCCCCGATTGCCGAAAATTGGGATGCTGCCCAAGAAATGGACCCCGAGGTGGAAGAGGGCGAGTTTGCGCGGTTTATATCTCAAGTCAAGGGCAAAGACCTGGACGACGTACGGCGAGAAATCGACGACGAAATCAAGGTATTAAACGCACAGAAGAAGGCCGCTATGCGTGATTCGGAAGACATCAATCAGCAAATGATATCTCAAATCATGGTGTGTACTTCGTAGCGCCTCTCAAGACCCCTACTGAGTAGCGGGTAGATGCTGTTGAGCCTGTTTGGTATTCCGTATATAACAGCGCCGATGGAAGCTGAGGCACAATGTGCCACGCTCGTATCGCTCGGCCTCGCGAACGGCGTGATTACGGATGATTCGGATGTGTTTCTCTTTGGCAGCCAGCGCGTGTTCAAGAACATGTTTAATCAGTCCAAAACGGTCGAGTGCTTCTTGCTCTCTGACCTAAGTCGCGAATTGGGCTTGGATCGCGACAGGTTGATCAGACTTGCATATTTGCTAGGTAGTGATTATGTCGACGGTCTTCCAGGTGTCGGTCCCGTCGTAGCCATGGAACTCCTTGATGAATTTCCTGGCGAAGATGGATTGCACAAGTTCAAGGACTGGTGGCTGAAGGTGCAGTCTGGAAAAGACAAGCCGGAGGATAACAAGTCCAAGTTTCGGAGACGATTCGCGAGTATTTCAAAGTCTCCTGACGCTGTGTACTCATTTCCTCGCACAGAAAAAGAAATTCAAGGATCTCTACCTGCCTTCGGAATGGCCCAATCCCACCGTGGTAAGCTACCGTTCCTATTTATGACTTGGTGCTCAGGTTTACACCAGAGGGATGCCTATTACCACCCAACAGTAGACGACTCCGAAGAGCCGTTTAAATGGGGTTTACCTGATCTCGATGCTCTCCGAGAGTAGGTGTTCCGTTGAGGAAAGTTGGCACCCACTCATTCCGACGCAGATTTTTGTATGCTGAGCTTGGCTGGCATTCCGATAAAGTCGACGAGACTTTGCTGCCTATTATACAGAAAATTCGCAAACGCGGCCAAGTATGACAACTCAATTTTGTGTTCGAATCTCTAAACTTGCCCTTAGGCTGGCGCTCTGAACAAGCAGGGTGACTTGAACGGGTTCTTCGATGTTTCGGGGAGTGGGACCGCTGTACCTCGAAAACGCCAAGCGTACACCAGCAAGCGTTTACAACAAGTCGTCTCCGACTTTCGAAAGAAGCGGAAACGCGGTTCACACTCACCCACAGAGGATGTCAATTCTCAGTCTGAGAGTGACGAGGACGTCCCCCGCGAAAAGAAGGCCAAGGGCACCTCACCCAAAGCACGCGCGGTCAAGCGTGGAACAAGTCGTGGACGCGGACGTGGTGGCAAAAAGCGTTCATCTCGGGCGAAAGCGGCGTCTTCTGGGGACGAAGCAGAGTTTGAAGGAGGCGAGGTGGCCCCAGATCAACTTGCTGCGCAGCTACGTCCCAGGCCTAAAGCCGCTTACAAGGGGGCGGTGACGAAGTGATTTGGTATTATCGACGACGTAGTATCTATGTACCTCAAATATTCAACAGACTTGTCGCCGTCATAATCATACAATAGGCGTTTACTCAAGTCTTGGAATGCGAAAACGCGCAATCTCTCCCCGCAGCCTGCCATTGAGGTAGCGTACAAGTCTCTCCTAGACAGACAACAATAACTCGTACCTCTATAGTTGTACTACGTGCGCCGCAATCATCGATGATTGCGGTAAGTATCCGCTACAAGTTGAACAGGGCTCTATCGTTCACCACTCACTATTATTTTACTTGGCTTCTGCTGTGGCTGTTCGTTCTGATCTATACCCGATCCGTGTTGTTTGGTTGAGACAAACAACCGATATCGTCCCAATGCGGTAGTTTCCGGCCACACGCACGGAAATGGGTCCGGCGCCGGCGGCTGATTATGGAAGGCACTGCGGGACGAATAAAGGTGTTTTTCTTTGCGTAGCTTTCAAACTTTGGTCTCAATCCCGCGACTCCGATTCGGTTGATACATTTTGAACTTGGTGTACAGTGATTAACCCGGAAGCGACAAAAAGGTTGAAGTGAAGTGATTCGGTATTGGCGGAGAACGGGCCCGATTTAGTGATACAGTCAAATTTGAACATTCACTATGAAGCGAAACACTACAATGTGCTTCAGGCAACAACTTTGAAGACTTGGCATGGCCACATTCTGAATCTAAGACCTTCAAAACCCCCAATACATGCCATAACTGTGAAATTTCCGGACAGCAGCTGGAGCACAGGGGCTGCTTAACCGGTCGGAAAACTGGGCCAAAAAGTGGTCAAAAATTTCGATATTTCTTTGGCTCTAGAAGCGCTACCTGCTCAAAGCCTTTTATGAATATGAGTTTTGGAGAGTAGAGAATATTCTCAAAAAAAATCCGGCCTTATGGGATGCACAGAAGATGAAAACACGGGGTGTTTCGCTTCACGGTCTGTTTCGCTTCACAGTTAAAGACTGCATGACTCGCGGATTTGAGCACTGAAATAGATGAGTGGGTCCCAATGCCATGGACTTGGAACAATTTTCAAATTTCCACAGCATCGTGGCGTAGATGAAAGCGCGTGGCATTAGGCACTGCCATGCACCATGCACTCTCATTGGGAGTCTGGAGGCTTGCAGGAGCCGACTTGGCTCGACTTGGTGCTGAAAAGATAAAGAGCGCTGAGGAATTGAGGGCGATATATATAGTACTAATTGAAAAGTAGGTACTAGTGTGGACTTAGGGTGACCTTTCATAGCATCATGGCGCAGATGGAAGCGCGCGGGGCCCATACGGCGCTTATATAAGCACAGAACCCCGAGGTCACTCGATCGAAACGAGTTGATGCTATCCTTTTTTGCTCTGCCAGGTTTTTTCCTTTTGTTCGTCTATTTAGAATATCATGCAACTCCCTGTTTTTTTTTTAAGGGTAATTGAAGCCTCGAGTTGCATAAACGATGATACAATGATCCTGTCCTCTGGCCATGGCGCAGATGCAAACGCAAGCCATCAAAAGGCACAGCAAAAGATAACTGAGGAGTGCCATGTTTCATCAAACGTCCGATCTTGAGGCAGACCTTAGTATGAAGGATTGTAACATGATAGTTCAGCGTGGAAGTTGCCCTATGTTGGAGGTCGTCAGACGAGACTCCGCAAAAACCGTTGATTCGCAACGGGCCCCGTGCAAGTCGACAGGTTCCCTCATGCGTTACGGCAAGTTCACTATGGGACAGGTCTCTCACTGGACTTAAGGTGCAGAAACAAATATATGAAGCAGAGAAGAGACATATGGCTAAAGATACGGAGGGCAGAAGCCATGGGTATATTGTGGATGGAACAAGAAGGTATAGTGGCCGGGGATCAAAAATAGGAGAAGGAGAAAAGGGTATAGAGGATAGAAGGAGGGGTATCCAAGGGGGCGCTACCATAAATGACGGATAGATAAAGAAAACGAAGTGAAAGGTAATACTTCAGCCTTGCGAGCAGAATTATAGTAATATACGATCAACCTTTCGGACGGCGGCCGACCCGACCAGCCCATGCGTTCGGATTGGAGATCGGCATCCTACTTCCGGGAACGGGCACGGTGCGCATCGACATCGCGTCCCAGTCACTGGAGCAGAACATAAGAAACAGTGAATGAAACAAGGAAGTCTGGACGTACAACTCCCACTAGAGAGGGTGCCGCTTCATATCAAGCACCGAGGAATAGCGGTCTTCGGCATCCCAGTCAAGAACCTGGATAATTTGGATGTTAGAAGATGGAGCAATAAATATGAAAGAACGGTACCTTCAGAAAGAAGTGGCGCTCCTCGGGGGTGAGGGGGACCTCGTCGTCGGCGTTGGCGTCTATGTCAAACTCCATGGGCTGGATGTAGCGACCATCGGGGCCGATGACGAACGGGAGGAGGCCAGTAATCATCTCGTAAAGGCAAACGGCAAAGGACCAGTAGTCGATCCCATAGCTGTAAATCTTGCCCATCCTGGCCTCAGGAGCGCCGTAGGAATTCGTTCCGCGTGGCGCGTCGGAGACGTGTGGATTGCCATCTTCGGGTAAGAGGAGCGGGAAGTGATCACCACCGCGTTCCTTGGCGAGCTCCCACGCGCGACCGCCCTTGACGTTGAGATTGAAAACTTTTGCCATCCCAAAGTCGCTCAGCAGGGCGTTGCCTTGGACGTCGAGAAGAATGTTGTCCAGCTTGATGTCGCGGTGTAGAATCCCGTTCTTGTGGAGGCACTGGATCGCGAGCAACTGAGGAATGAAATGAGTCCAGGTTAGAAGCATAAGGTGACATACCAACTGACACCCATAAAACAATGCAAGGGGACGACTGAGATAGCCTCCCGCGCTGCGGAGCTTGTCGAGCAGAGTACCACCAGGACAGAATTCCTGTTCGTCGTCAGTGACCTCATAGAAAATACGACGGAAGATCTCACCATAACGAGAATATAGTCATGGTCGTCGATGAAACTCCCTAGCAGGACCGGGAAGGGGTTATTGGAGGTGAGTCGCAGCCGATTCATAGCACGTATTTCATCGACGATCAGATATTCGCCAGAGGACCCGAGCATCTTCTTTGCGACTCGCTTGATGGCTACAGCTCGTCCCGTCTCTACATTCAGACCCTTGACGACGCGTCCGTAGCCTCCCGAACCAAGGAGATTTTGAGCAATGATATTCCGGGGTTGCAGGCCGGTGCGGGACGCTCCTTCAAGAACGATCTCGATCCATTTCGTCCATTGAGGAAGAGGTCGGCGTGGAGCGGGAGGGACGACAGGACGCGGCGGTGCGGGAGAGGGAGCTTTTTCTTCTGGCTTGACCTGAGGAGCAGTTTTTGGATGGAAGACGAGACGGACGGCACGAAGAACGACCCCGATAAACAGACATGACACCCACTTGAGCACCCAAGGTACGCCTTCGGTTGCAAGCCTATAAGCGGTGCTTCTGGTGGATACTGCAAGGCGGCGACCGACACGGTAGAGAAGGCGACCCATGGGGGACGCGACCCAAAGTAACAGAATAGCGCATAGATGGAGTCCAACCCAGACGACAGCCTCGTATGCGAGACTTCCAACAAAGACGACGTCATGCACGGTGGTCTTGACAGCACCAAAGAATCTTGCATATGCCGACGAAACGAGAGAACGTACAGTGGCGGACGGACGGCGAACGTCTCCGCCGGGTCCACGGGACACTTGGTTGTTGTTGGTCTGGCAAATCGTACACGCGCTAAGAATGAACAAGGCGGCTGCCACAAGGATGGTGGAAATCATGACGTTCCTGCTGCTGGATATATCGACCTGGCCTGGAAGGGCTTGAGAAGGTACGAATGTCGGCGACACGAACAGGTCGTAGAGCGTAAACTTCGCGGAAGGCGGCGGCGGCGGGGGGTATCTGGCACGGGAAACCGGATGATAAGGGAAGAGAAGACCCTGGATGCGCTGAGAAGGGACGGGAACTCTGAAGTTTGACGAGGACTTCGAGCTCCGCCGGACCAAGACCTCAACAAGGTGAGAAATGTCGGGGGGTGCGGTGAGAACAGCCTTCCAGTCGTCACAGACGTTGACGACCGTCTGCGCGACCTCGGCGAAAAAGTTGGGGTTGATAGACAAGAACATGGTGACGGTAAGAGCTAAGAGGTGAATTGAGTGTCAACCGCACAGAACAAATAAGCAAAAACAACGCGTCGCGCTCCGCCCGATTCACGTGTATTCCTTCCCTGCTCGAAAAGAACGATCTGATTCGGAATACGGCGGGGTGAAACAACCGCATGCGTCGAAATATTCAATGCGCCCCAATTTACAGCGAGTCCGGATTGGTCCGGCACCAGGCAGCTCAAATCACACTTCTATGTACACGATTGATTTAAATGCCGCTGAAAAGCCAAATCCGATTTAAATATCATTCTTTCATTAGGTACAATGCGATACGTTTGTGTCTATCAATTTAGTCGTCGGTACCAAACCACTTCAGGCGACCCGTCTCTGCTCAGGCGTGAGAATAGCATCCATACTGTACGCCCCTGGAAATCAAAATGTCAATACGGGGTCCGCAGCATAAAAGCGTGGGTCAGGACTAACACTTGAAATGGCCGTCCACCTAGATGCGTATGCCTTGTGAGTACAGGTATTCCTCAACCAAGAAACCCAGACTTACCGAGTCGTTGTATTCGACCCAAACTGTGCCAGTCGCCAAATTGTCACAGACGCTTGCGGGAGACCCCGGGAACTTGTGAAGTTCAAGTGTTAAAAATACATTTAACGCGTAAACAAGGAATGAATTCACGTCAGGGTCATTGACGACAAGGTTGTTGGAGTGCGATCCATGATCAGCCGTGGCTGCGGCTTGGATTGCATTGTGCGCATCATCCGAAACTAGATAAGAAGGGTGAGGATCAAAGGTAACAAATGCGTTGAATATACGAACGAGCGCCGAGTTCAGCATTGGTCATCGGTGTGCAGGCCTTCTTGGTCGGGCTAGCTGAGACGAGTGCAACGCAGGCAACGACAGCGGTGAAAGCAGAGAAGAATTGAACCATTATATCGGTTTATGGGTAAGAGTCGGAGTAAGAAAATTAATGAGGATCTTTGGGTTGGTTGTTGGTGTTGGATGTAGGAATGAGGAGCATTGCAAAAGTTGAGCCACCTTTTATACCTTGCAGGCTGCTCCACTGTCACCGTTTCGCACAGGTCGAAAGGCTCCATGAATAAAAATCGAATGTTCGTCTCCCGCTGCGCCACACCTTGATTCATTCTGGGATATGTGAGACTCGCCGGCGTCTGCCCGAGCCCCGTTGCGATGTATCCCCTGCAATGGAAAAGGGTCGGCTAAATTTCACCACTTGATTTTAGCGTTGCATTACGAAATTAAAACCCAGTATCCACTCGACGCATACATGCGGTGCCGGGATTTAGTTGAGCTACTTCGAGTACGAGAGCGTCGAAGACAGAACCAGCAACAATATATCCATGTTGAACGCGAGCGCGAAAACCGCGCGCCGCGACTAATGCACTGGCGTGCCTCTGAGTGATATTGCATGGAAGTTCATTTCAATGTGTGCGTCTCGGAGGGGATGTGGGGGAGCCAACCTTAGATAGACTCGGATGCTGCCTAATACTAGGGATTGGAGTGATATTATCACGCTCGGAGATGAAGGCGCTGAGAATTCATCAGGAGTACCGGAAACTATATATTTAGACATGCACTCCACAGACGATGCTACACTCACTCGAATTGATTATGGAGCGAGAAATGCAAGACGAGGACTTGGGGCAAGTTGGTTTGATAACTCCTGTTGCCTAATTGGGATATCTAAAACGGGTGGTGTATTGAGGAGCGTCAAGGAGCGTCACTGCCTGAACTGTGGAGTATATAGATGCATTACGATCTGTGAATCTTTACGTTCCCCAAAATATTCACCAGGGCATCATAGTCGACCTGTAGGCGCAAGGAGCAAAGGTAGAAATTGGACATGATACGCGCCGTCGTTGCGAGGAAATCATTTTTTGAGCTAGCTGCTCGATGTAGAGCGCCGAGTAGATGGTAATAGAGTCGCCATAGTATATGGGAGTTGAACAATCTTTTTTCGGAGCGCTGTTGAAGATGGAGTGTATCGACTGGGGCCAGGTGGTGCTGAGGATAGATATATCGTCTCTTCCCACGCCCAGAAGTGGATGTGGTTGAGACAAGGATCCGAGTCTGTTCGCCGTGTCTATTCGCAAAGCGATGCTGTTGGCCCCTCGACTAGAAACCGGTCCTCATAGCACAGATAAGTTTTCTGAATGGCTGTTTCGAGGATAGATTATGCAAGGATCCCAAAGTTCAAAGTGGTCAAAACGCCACAAGGACG